GTATACATTACTCCTTTGGGTGTTATCGTGCTAATGGGGCACAGACCATTCGGCTGTTTGGGCGGTGCAATTGAGATTTGAGCAAAGTGGATGACTCTCGAGAAGGTTCTAATGGATCTAAGATTTATATGTAGCAATTGAGATTTTTTTTCGGATTTGTATATGGCTAGAATCTGGGATTTGCATTGGATGGTGTGGGGATTCGTGGTATTTCTATATTATTATGGATTTTACATTTCAGTATCAGGAAGGTGAAGGAAACTACTTTAGATTCGCAGAAGGTCTCCTCAGAGGGGGCGTCTCGATTGTGGTACTTTTGGGGTGCTTAAGAGGGAATACAACGGCTTATGGGCCTTAGGGAGGTGTGGTTTTATGCTAGGATCTCTTGTGGTGAGCTTTGGTAAGGATTGTGGTGTTTTGACAAGGAGAAGTGTCAACCTGAGGTTAATTCTGAAGGAACTCGGAGAAATATGACAGCTTGGTAGTAGATTGGATCAACACGGTAATGGATATGATCAGTTCTTTGGGTACTTATGATGTGGTGAGTCTTTACAGGTGTTTTGTGGCAATACTCTTGGGTTTTGCGACCTGTATGGCTTGGTTAAGTTAGAGAGATTCAGTTTTGATGGCTTGGTTATGTGCAAATGGGTTTCGAAGAGTTCTCGATGTTTTCTACCACGGTTTAAGATGGATATTTCCTACTGGCGTGAGGAGCATATTGCGTATTGTGATTTTCTCATGGATGGGATCAGATAGAAGGTTTCTGACTGATCGGGTATGTATTCTGCTGGTGACTAAGAGTTGATTGTAATATTCTTGTGCTTTTCATATGATAGCATGATAGATGCAGTGCGTTGTGTGGGATTGAGATTTGCATGTGCAAGGTCATGGTCCAGTTTTGAAGGGAAGTTCATGAATTCTTAAACAACATGGATTACTTCAGATGACTAGATGAATGTTATTACTACTTGGTATCGCCTGAGAAGGGTGCGCATCTCAGAAGGTGCACTGTGTTTTGCCTTATGAATGTTTCATTGGTATTGCGGTGCTCATCTGGTTGATCGATTGCTGATGTTCAGAGTTTGCTATGTGGCATGGAAGAATTTTGGAAGTATTTCTCGTGGGATGATTATATGAGAGATGTGTTAGTCATTCGAGTGGTGGAGTTGGGATAGGCTATGGTGATTCATGTGTTCTATGGATTTGGAGACTGGGAGTTCTCAAAAGCAGATTGTTTTGGGGTTGTAGACTATGAAGATGTGGCTAGAGTTAGCTAGATGGTAGTACGTTCTATGGTTATGCCATTGTGGACTTTTGAGGGCTATTTATCCATTTGGGGATGACCGGAGTTCATTTGGGGGCCCACTGGTAGGTCCGAGGAGGATGTGTATTTTACACCAGGTTGGATTTATTGACTCAGCACTGTTATTGATAAAAGGTGTATATGGTCGAGAATTATTACTACGAGTATGCGAGTTGTGTGATATATCATGTGATTACGTTTTGAGTTATGGTTATGGCTTGATACAACTTGTTCAGACTTATACAGTGTATTGATGCGAGATTCCGCTCTTACCAGGAATTCCGGATGTTGGAAATTAGGTTGTAAGGCTTATGAGCTAAGATTGAATTAAGGATCTTCAGTTATGTTGTGTTGTCAGGCTTATATGGGTTGGGGTGACGTGGGATCACCCTCGGGTATGTGCATGTTAATGTTTCACGGCGATTTGATGGCTTTGGAACGACTCTAGGCATGTTCAAGGATGAACATATGTTTAAGTAGGGGAGAATGTAATGACCCGACCGGTTGTTTTGAGCATTTACTCTTCGCTCGGTGGTTTGAGGGCATGAGAAACTTCATATGATTTATTATGACTTGTGTGTATCGTCCATTTTGGTTTTCAGGTATTTCGAAATTAGTTTGGAAGAATGAATTTCATGTTTGAAGCTTTAAGTTGGAAGAGTTGACCAAGTTTGACTTTTGAGTATTTGACCTCGGATCAAAGTTTTGACGGTTCCTTTAGGTCCGGATGGTGATTTTGGACTTGGGCGTATGCCCGGATTTGCATTTGGATGTTCCGAGAAGGTTTCGGTACTAATTGGCGAAAGTTAAAAATTTGAAGGTTTGGAATGTTCATAAGTTTGATCGGGAGTTGACTTTGATGATATCGTGTTCGGATTGTGATTCCGAGAATTTCAATAGCTTCGTTATGTCATTTGGGCCTTGTGCGCAAAAGTTGAGTTCATTCCAAGTTGATTTGATATGGTTCGACACGAAAGTTGAAACTTCAAAAGTTCATTAAGTTTGATCTGAGGTGCGATTCGTCGTTTCGATGTTGTTATGCGTTATTTGAGGCCTCAAGTTGGTCTGTGTTAGGTTATGGGACTTGTTGGTATGTTCGGACGGGGTCCCGAGGGGCTCGGGCGTGTTTCAGATTGATTTTCGACCATTTTCCTCCATATTTTAATTGCTGGTTTCTGATGCCTCGATTGTCCTTCGCGATCGCGAAGATGGGGATGCGATCGCGTAGGGGAAAATCTGGAGTTGAGTGTTTCTTCTTCGCGTTCGCGTAGGTTGCTGGAGGTTCAGCATCGCGTTCGTGCAAGTGTGTACGCGTTCGCGCAGTGTAGAGCTAAGATGGGCAGGTCTTTATGACTTCTTCATTGCGTTCGCGAGCCTGGGGCCGCATTAGCGTAGAGATTTTTTGAGGCAGAGCTTTTTGTGCTTCGCAATCGCGTAGAGTCTTTCAGGGGCAGTTGCATTTTCTTCTTCGCGATCACGATAGTATTTCCGCGATCATGATTCATTATATCATCCAGTGATTATAAGTACTCTATTTTGGGGGGTTTCGGCCATTTTAGCATATTTGGAGCTATGGAACTCGGATTGAGACAATTTTTGAAGCGATTTTCACTATATAGATTGGGGTAAGTGTTCTCTAATCAGTTTTTATTATATTTCATAAATCTATCCTCATTTTTGGCATTTGGTTGATGATTTCAAAAATGAAATTGGGGGGTTTTTGTCCAAAATTTTAATAAAGTGAATTTTCAAGTTTTGAGCGTAGATTCGAAGTCGAATTTGAGTGAAAATAGTATGATTGGACTCGTAATTGAATGGGTTGTCGGACTTTTGGAGTTTCGTCGGAGTTCGAGGTGCGAGCCTAGGTTTGACTTTTTGGTTGTCTTTGGGGCTTTTGAATAAAGATTCAACTTTTATCAATTGGGTTTGTTGCCTTAGACATTATTTGATGTATTTGAGTTGCTTTGGCTAGTTTCGAGCCGTTCGGAAGTTGATACACGCGGGATGGCATTTCTAGAGTATTGTTTGGCTTGCTCGGTATTGGATTCGGCTTTTTCGAGGTAAGTAACACTTCTAAACTTGATGCTGAGGGTATTAACCCCTGAATATACGTGTCATGTATTTGGTGTTGAGGTGACGCACATGCTAGATGACGGGCGTGTGAGCATGCACCATGTGAATTATGACTCAGATGATTCTATGGTACGGTGTAGCTACCTAATCTTGTTTTAATCCATGAAATGTCTACGTGCTATAGTAATTAAGCTGTGATCCATGTTAGAAACCATGTTTAGGCTATATGATTATTGTGTTGGGACTCATTGAGGTCATTTCTGATGTTGAGTTATTTGCTTAAATTGCAATCACATACTTAGTCATATTCATTCATTTGCATATCATATCTCAATCTCTTTTATCATTTGTTGTCACATCAAGTTATCATTGTTTGGGTTGATTGGCATGAGATTTGTGAGCCCGAGAGAGTAGAGAGATTGATGACTGAGTGAGGCCGAGGGCCTATTTGTGAGTGATATTGATGGGATCGGGTTGCGCGCCGCAGCGGGTACTATTGACTCATGATAGGATCGGGCTGCACGCCACAACATGTATTATTGATTCATGATGGGATCGGGTTGCGCATCGCAACATGTTTTATTAGCGCTTGGGCAGGATCCGCCCCTCCGAAGTCTGACATACCAGCAGTGAGCGCAGTATTTATTGATTCATGATGGGATCGGGCTGCGTGCCGCAGAAGGTATCGTACAGTGCTGAGTGACTGAGTGTGCTGAGGGATTGAGCATGATGAGTGGGAGTGTGAGATAGTGAGATTGAGTACTCTGAGAGTATGAGTACATGAGTTCAACCCTGTGACGCATTACATTTGACATGCATACGTGACATACATACATAGAGATGCATTTCCTCATGCTACACGATTTTGTGACATTCATGATTTCACATGCAAATTGGCATGTAGGCATAAAGATACACTTTCCTCATGCTATATGAGATTTAAACATACTATCTGTTATTAAAAGTTTTTGGAAAAAAATCAAAGATTTCTGACTCACTCATACTTTGGTGATTTCGGTGAAAGATTTGGGTTTTACTGCTATACTTGAAAAGCATGCCTATTTTCCGTAACTGTGAACGAGCTGAGCATTGTATCTTTGAGTTATTTCTTGTACAACTTGTATTATATTGTTATGAGCTGTTGTTGGCTATTGGTGTTGGGCTCTGACCATTGTCCAAGCTCGTCACTGCTTTCAACCTAAGGTTAGGTTTTTTATTTATTGAGTACATGGCGTCGGTTGTACTCATACTACACTTTTGCACCTTGCGTACATATTTTGGATGCTGATGTTGCTGTGTATGGCGGGAGCTGGCATTGAAGACGCACCTGCATTCCGTCTGATACAGACTATGAACAAAAATACGGATATAGCAAAATATGCGAAATCAAAAATAAGAGCTAGACCTACAATTGATTGGAAGAACAAGAACCAATTAGGATATGAAGCCTAATTACCTCTATGAACACAACCAATTGTAACCCTAAGCTATGAAAACTCTCAATAAATTAGCAACTCTTGAAAATTCGGATAAAGTAATTAAGCAATTAAGTATTCACTACTAATTGCTCACCAACTAAGACTAATTTAGCACTAATGAAAGAACAAATAAAGTAATAAAGGAATTAAAGATATAAACATAAATGCATTAAATAAAAGATAAGAATACAGTGTGAGACTTGCATGTCTTCAAGTTTATCATTCATCAAGTCTACCTAAAATAAAATCCTTAAAGGCTATTTATACTAGAGTGGGTATTTGGCTGCAAATGACCCAAATATCCCTAAGCTAATTCTAATGAGCTAAGTGTAGTCAATTATTACAAGTATAGCCTTCTTGATCTTGACTCCTTTAAAACACTCCAATTCTATGATGTAGACTTGAAAATCATTAGGCATGGTCATCCAGCATGTATCATCCTCCCCCTCTTGAAAGAAATTCGTCCTCGAATTTGGACCTTGCAAAACCAAGAAAGTGACAAATATAAGTACCAAGCCAATCAAAATCAAAGCATTATATGTCCAAGCTAAAAGATCAAAGATCACAATCTTGGACTCAAAAGTGACACTCTTATGATATAGCCAAGTGTCATAATCTATAAAGAACACATCTCCAACACAAATTTGACAATAAGAAAAATAATACTCACGAGAATAATCAAGAGAGTGTAAAGTTTCATGCTTCCAACAAAACCACAATCTTGTAAAATTCTCAACAAAGTGCACACTTTTATGGTATAACCAAGTGTCATAAGAAGCAATAAAAATCATACTCTCCAATCCAAAGAAAGACACTTCACCATGATAAGAAACAACTCCGGGGTCAAACACAAATTTTAATCCCCAAATATCTACACACTTTCCAACAACTTCACATGACAACTTAAGAGATATGCGAAGCTCATCATGAATCATCATATAAAGAATATCACAATACTCAAAGTTAAGAGTCTTTACCTCAACAGCCTTAGATAAACACAAGATAAGCATAAGCCAAACGTACATACCATTCTCGCTTTTGGGCAAAAGAAAAAGCTCTTGACAAAAAGTATGCCAAAATATTAGTTCAAGACCTTTCTTACCCTTAGCAACTTTCTCTTGTTGAACCTTCACAAAATAATCAATAAAGTTAGGTTCTTTTTACTCAAAATGGTCACTCAAAACACGAAAAGAAGCATTGCTACCTTTTCTCATAGAAGCATTAGCAAAATCCAATGAGAATGTTCTTTCAAAAGTAGGAATAAAATAAGTAAAGCAATTAATACTAGTGCTAGCATCAAAAACTTTCCTTTCCTTTTCATACTCAACAAATTCATCACATAAATATGCGTAAGAGTCATCAAGATCAAATACAAGAGAAGTCAACTCATTAGAATACAAATGATTTTCTTCTTCTATATTTATGTCATTCTAAGTAACTTGTTCACTCTCCAACAAGGCATCTCCACACTCACATTTGCTCACTTCACCATAAAAATTGAATTTTTTTGCCAAAGGAATGACAATAGAATCAAAAGAATCATCAACACATTCTTCTTGACTCATTTCTTCATAAAGGTCAAAAATTTCTTCCAACAAAGTTAAAGTTGAGTCAAATGAATCATCACATGCATCATCCCATAAAGGTGGGGTATCATAAGACTCAACATCATCACTAGCTAAAGAGTCACTAAACAAAGAACTAGAATCATCCAATAATGCACAAGAACTCTTAGCTAGTTACAAGTCACATTTATTGTCCTCATCACAAGATAAAGTAATATCAAACTCATCAATGTCATAGCTATCTTTCAAACTCAAAAGTGTCACCACAATCAACTAAAGTATCATAGGTAGAAGGATACGCTACCTTGCACTTCCTCATTTAATTTCATAAGTCCTCTTGAAAAGGTAAATTGATCTTCTTCCAGGCTATTCAAAGTGGATTGAACTTCACTTGATGGTTCGTCTCCAAAAGTCCCTACACAAGTTACAAAACAAGTAGAGAAAGAAGAAAGATTAGCATTAGAATAAGGAAAATCCTCACTCTCCTTTTGTTTTCCCTCTTTCTTTTCTCTCTTTTTCTTTTCAAGCTCTTCACTCTTTTCTTGTGACAACTAGAGTTGTCATTTTTCTCTCCCTCACTTCTATCTTTCTTTTGTCTCTCATCCTTATTTTGTCTCTTTGCATTTTTCAAGGATGTTCTCAACTTCATTTGGCCTCTTCCCCTTTGATTTACTTCATCCCCCCTATATTCGTCATTGAAAACTTGTTGGATGTTGTCCAACTCATTCAAGGTGGTCTCACGATTATGTTGAAAAAATGGGTTGTTCATCATCCGAGGCTCTTGACAAGTTACTTGTGGCCTAGGTAGTGGCGAAGTTTGATAAGGTTGTAGTTGAGGTACTCATGGTGGTTGATGTGTGATTAGGGGTTGTAGTTGGTGTTGGTAGTAGGTAGGTGGTCGGTAGTTTGGTGGAGGAAAATAAGGCCCCTTTGGTGATTGTGGTTGCTTTGGTAGGTTTTGTGGTATTTGGATATGTTGGTTATGTTGCGTTTTTCCTCTTTGAAGCATTTGTCGTACTTGTGAATGAGAAGGTGTATCAGAGGAATTAGTAAGCGTCATAGTGCTCTCCCTTCCTTGTTGCCTCAAGTGAGATTCCCCCAATATGGAATTCAACCTTGCATTCGTTTTGTGTTGCCATATGGTAAAATTGGTAACCTTCTCACTTATGTCATAAAGCATAGAGACAACTTCATGCATCGGAGTCTCACTCCTTGGATCACAATTAGGACTAGAAGTTTGTCCGTACTCCATGATACCTGCAAAACGAGCAAACAAATTAGTAGTAAAGTCCTCACCAAGCTCACTCGATGTCGCTCAACCCTCGTGTATCACACCTTGCACCAATTGGCTTTTGCGTGCTCAAAGTCCTATTCACTCTTGCCTTTTTCCGCTCAAGTAGTGAATGTCAAAATTGCTAGCAAACTTAAGTTCCAAGGTTTCACAAGAAGTTCCAACCGTCTATGGGGTGTAGTGGAAGTTGTGTATTCACAAGGACGGACAATTAAAAGCAAACGGACTTGAACCAAGCAATTCACAACGAAATCAAAAGATAAAAGCACGAAACAATTGGCACGAAACAAAATTAAGCACATAAAGAACTAGGTTAAACTTAATATGAACTAATATCAAGTTTACACTAGTTTAGAATTAACAAACAAGAAGAAAAAGATTAACAACTGGAAAGAAAAAGAAAACTAGACAGAAAAATCTCTGAACTTCTGAACTTTGAACTCTCTGGACTTGTTATAATTTTCTGGGATTGATACTATGCCCAAGGTTTCACCCTAACCAACTGATGCAATTGATATGCAGATGCTCACACAACAAATGCAAAACCTTTCAGTCTAGAGCAGAAACAAACTCAGCAATTTTGGAACCAAACAGAGAAGAAACAGGGCAGGTTTACTGCTGCAGCTATGCAGACTTGCAACCTGCAGAAAAACAGTCAAACAATGGCAGCGAAACTGTGTAGCTGATGCTCAAAACTAAACTCAAAACTGCAGATTTTTCTCAGCTCTATTAGTAGTCCAAAACTACAGGTTTTCAGCAGCTAACAGATGCAGAAGTTTCAATTTTCTGCTGGTGCACAAGTATTGGAAACAATGAGTGCAGAAAATCCCTTCTAAAACTGTGCAGATCATGTTCAAAAGTGCAGAAAAAGATAGGAAAATGCACTAGCAAAGCAGACAGATTCAGTAGCTATCTCAAATGGGCAACAATCAGTTGTGGAACTGTGCAGAAATGCTTCCTCAAACTGTTCTCAATATTCTCCCAGAAAACTAGAAATCAATAACTACTTTGGACCCCTGCGAACAACCTAAAATTCTTACAGGTTTACTAGCTGAACTGGTTCTGGAATGCAGCTGCAGAAAATCAGTTTAAACAGCACAGAAATGTAGCTGAATGTTACAGAAACTGTCTTCCAAATACTGATGCAAACAGACTAGTAAAACTAATTGCAGCCTCAATTTCCAACTGCCTGGCCACAACAGATGCAAAACAGTGTTGAACTAGTTCCAATAGATGCAACTCACTTCAGCTGATTTCATCAGATTTTGAAACACTCACTCAATCAATTTCCAATAAGAACCTCGAGTCGACTTAGGAATTCAAACTCGATCACAATCAACAAGAAACTCGAGACAAACTCACTGATTCAAATCCACCACTACCTTCAAAATTTAAAGAATTTCAGCCAAAAGAGACTCACAACTAATTCTGAACAGTCAGCTAGTTCACAAGATCTTCAGCAACAACGCAATTCAGATTACTCTCCTAGATTCAAAGCAACTACAATTGACGACTCAATGAATCAAACTCAGGATCGAACAGAACTCTTACAAATAACAGTCACAAATCCCAGAAGATATAGATGAAATTTCAGCTCAAACAATCAAGTTTTCAAACTTAGAAGTTCATGAACTTAGAAAACTCAAACATGCTTTCAAACCTTCAGGAGTTAGAGAATTTGAACCTGGAGTTTTCTTCTGAATTCTATCGACACTGTAATTGGAAAGTTCAATCGTCGAGGCGATTACCTTCGTGGAGCCAAATCAGTTGCAAATGAATCTCAGAAAAAAAATGAAGAACACAGCTGTTGTTCTTCGTCTTCTTGAGAGAATCGACTCCGGATCAACCTAAAATATCAATTCGAATCAGCTCTACAGGTTTTCCTCTTCGATTTACCAGCTGCTCGAATCAGTTCGGGGAGTTCTTCAATCGAAACAAGTGTTCTTCGACTGATTCAAGCTCAGCTAAAAAATTCTCAGTTCAATCTCACTCAAATATTCACAGAACGAGTTCAAATTTGATATACGAGCTCCATTCAACACAAAAAAAAAAATCCCCAGTGATTAATTTCTAGACACGACAATGAAATCAGAAGAACCCAGCCTGTAGTGTCAACTCTTGATAACCCGGTTAGAGTAATTAACCAATTAAGTATTCACTACTAATTCTCACCAACTAACTCTAATTTAGCACTAATGAAAGTATAAATAAAGCAATAAAGTAATTAAAGGCATAAACATAAATGCATTAAATAAAAGATAAGGATATAGTATGAGACTTGGATGTTGTCAAGTTTATCTTCATCAAGCCTACCTAAAATAAAAGTCTTAAGGGCTATTTAGAGTAGAGTGGGTATTTGGCTGCAAATGACCCAAATACCCCTAAGCTAATTCTAATGAGCTAAGTGTAGTTAATTATTACAAGTATAACCTTCTTGATTTTGACTCCTTTAAAATACTCCAATGCTATGATGTTGACTTCAAAATCATTAGGCATGGTCATCCGGTATGTATCACGGTCATAGCTGTCACTTGTTCTTGGTAGCTTTAGAATTATTAATCTGTTCATGTATATTTCAAACACATGATGTATTTATTTCATACAAACTTTGTAAATTCTAAATCTTAGAAGTTCATGATTTGTACTACCAGTCCTTGGGAAGTGTATAAAGGTTCAGTTATTTCATCATTTATTTTCTTAGTAAATCTTATTTGAATTGGATTGTTGCTAATTGGTTTACCTTGCGGGTTGGGTTAGATGTCATTATGAGTAGTTGGACTTTGGGTTGTGACAAAATCTATATGCAACTCCTTCCTGCGGGTATGGGGAAACAACTTCTCTAATGGGAGAATGGAGAACTCATGCCATGAAAGTGGTGCTGCGCCAACTAGCTTGCTCAACTCATAGGCCTGCCATGATCGGTAGGCTGCCCCAGTCAACTAGAAAGTGGTAAATATAACTCCACTAGTCCCCAAAATACCTGTTGTGCGAAGAATCCCCTGACACCAATCTAGAAAATTCTGAGCATTCTCTGACTCTTCCCCGCTGAACGTTGGGGGCTTAAGCCTTCCTGTCACGACCCAAAATCCAACTAGTCGTGATGGCACCTAACCCAACCCGCTAGGTAAGCCAACTTTCAATTATCCAATTTCAATAATAATTATTATAGCAATTTAAGTGAATAAAGATCTTAATCTTATACAACCCCCAAGAACTGGTAGTACAAATCATGAGCTTCTAAGAATAGAGTATACAAAGCGGAAATCAAATAAATACATAGTCTGTTTGAATAATACATAAACAAAGCTTTTGTAAATCTAAGGCAACCCTGAATAAGAGGCAACTACAACAGGAACGCAGGTACATCTTCAAGTCCCGCAACCATCGAGTACAGCAACAACAACATCCAAAATCTGAACGCAATGTGAAGAAGTATAGTATCAGTACAACCGAACACATGTACTGAGTAAGTAACAAACCTAACCGTAGGTTGAAAGTAGTGACGAGCTTCTACCAAGGTCGGGTCCATAACCAATAGTCCACAACAGTCCATAACAACATAGCAAATAATACCAGAAGTAGTTCAGAGATCAAATGCTCAACTAAATCATGATTTCAAAAAGATAATAGTTCTTCCTTTCAAATACATCAGTGAAAACCCAAATCGTTTGCCGAAGTTTCCAAAAATATGAATAATTTGAAAACAATAATTTTTCCTAAAATCTTTTCAATAATAAATAAGATGTTTTATTTTCCTTCCGGATAACCTGTGTAAAAAAAAATGCATCACTATGCCCAACTGTAAAAATGTGTGAGAAATCATGAATGATGTGATGTTGTACAGCATGAGAAAAATACATCTCTATGCCTGTATATCATGTGTGCATGCCAATGCGATGCAACTCAGTGATAAAATCATAAACAGCCCCTCGGGTAGAACGACACTCATATACAACCCCTCGGGCAAATCTCACAGTCACTCATGCCTCTCGGGCATACCTCACAGTCACTCATGCTACTCGGGCATACCTCACAATCACTCATGCCACTCGGGCATACCTCACAATCACTCATGCCTCCCAGTCACTCAGCACTCGGCACTCGAAACTCGGCACTCACACTCAGTAGGTACCTGCACTCACTGGGAGTGTGTACAAACTCCGGAGGGGCTCCTTCAGTCCAAGCGCTATAATCTGCACGGACAACTCACGTGCTATAATAATAAAGTATATAAAACATGCTGCAGGCGGGCAGCCCCGATCCACATAATAATCCTCACCATCAAGCCCTCGGCCTCACTCAGTCATCAATCTCTCCAGTCTCTCGGACTCACAATGTCATGAAAATAGCCCAAAAATGATGATATAATGTATTAATAATAACAACAGAGACTGAGATATGATATGCAATGAAATGAATATGATTGAGTATAAATTTTCAATTTAAAACAAATAATTCACAGCAATATGACCTATGTGGGTCCCAATAATACTGGCATATAGCCTCAACATGATTTATAATATACTTTTCATCTCAATATCCTTAACTCATAAAACTGCGTGGAAAATGCCAAGATCATTTAACTACAAAATTTCACAGAAATAATTATGTCACAATTTCTATAGTGCACGCCCACACGCCCGTCACCTAGCATGTGCTTCACCTCCCAACAATTCACGAAATACATATATTCAGGGTTCATACCCTCAACTCCAAGATTAGAAGAGTTACTTACCTCGAACAAGCTGAATCTAATGTCGAGCAAGCTAAACAATGCTCCAGAAATCCCAGTATGCGTGTATCAACTCCCGAACGGCTCGAATCTACCACAATTAATTTGATTCAGTCCACACAATTTATAGGAATTAATTCCATATCAAAATGCTAATATTTTCCACAAAAATCCAAAATTACGCCCCCAAAAATATCTGTGGGGCCCACGTCTCGAAATCTAAAGAAACTCATAAAATACGACAACCCATCCAATTACAAGTTCAACCATACTAATTTCACTCAAATCTGACTCCAAATCGGTATTCAAACTTGAAAAATTCATTTTTGTGACATTATAGAAATTTCCTTCTATTTCTCTTGAAGATTCAATAATCTTACACAAAAAATGAAGATTAATTCATGAAATATAATCACAAGGAAGTCAAGAACACTTACCTCAAGTTGTGTGGAAAATTTCCTCACCAAAATCGCCCAACCCGAGCTCCAAAATCCGAAAATGGGTGAAAATGTCGAACTCTTGAATTTAAGGTTCTGCCCCAGCGATTTCCGCATCTGCGGACAAGCCTCTGCTTGTGCGAGCAAAACATCGCATGTGCGGACTTCACTTGCCTGCCCAGTTTGCGCATCTGCGAGGAAACCATCGCATTTGCAAGGCCGTATCTGCGGGAAAGACATCGCATATGCGAAACTCCTCAGCTTCAAGCCATCTCGCTTTTGCGCACAATCTTCCGCATCTGCGCTCACGCAAGTGCGGAATTTCGCTCGCACCTCCGACCAATGCCTCACAGTCCCTGCCCGCATCTACGCTTGCCAGGCTCGCTTCTACGAGCTCGCACCTGCGATGGAATTTTTGCAGGTGCGATTGCATCAGATGGCAGAAACTTCAGCTTTTTCTCCTAAGTCCGAATTGATCCGTTAGCCATCCGAAACTCGCCCGAGCCCCTTGGGACAACCGTCTGAACATACCAACAAGTCCCATAACATAATACGGACCTACTCGAGGCATTAAAATACACATAACAACATCGAAACAACGAATCACACCTCAATTCGTAATCATTGAACTTTGAAACTTCAAATTCTATAACTTGTGCCGAAACACATCAAATCACGTCCGATTGACCTCAAATTTTGCACACAAGTCACATTTCACATTACGGACCTATTCAAATTTCCAGAATTGGATTTCAATCCCGATATCAAAAAGTCAACCTCCCGGTCAAACTTCATAAAAATTCATCTTTCGGCATTTTAAGCCTAATTCCACTACGGACCTCCAAATAATTTTACGGACACGCTCCTAAGTCCAAAATCATCATACAGAGCTATTGGAATCATCAAAACTCTATTCCGGGGTCGTTTACACATAAGTCGACATCACCGGGTCCGAACCAATTACCCCGGCAATTCATATAACAACTATAAGGTACAATTTGAGCAGTAAATGGGGAAACGGGGTTGTAATACTCAAAACGACCGTTCGGGTCATTACATTCTCCCCCACTTAAACATACATTTGTCCTCGAATGTGCCAAGAGTTGTTCTTAACCTTCAAATCTCTATTCCACCTTACCACGCACATACCCGGGGGTGATCTCACGTCACCCTATTCTATATAGACCTGCAATATAATACAACTAAAAATCCTTAATTTAACCTTAACCCAAAAACCTTGGGATTCAATTCCCAACCTTCAGAATTTCTTTCAAGACACGAATCTTACTTTTACACACTGTATGAGTTTGAACAAACTGTATCAAGCCATAACTATCACCGTAACCACTGACATAATCACCTAACATATTATACAACTCGCATGCTCGTAGCACCATTCCTGATCACAGTGACTACTCCAAAACCAACCACATACTAGAAGAAGAACAATTTCAAATTCACATAAGGTATTCTCACAGTGNAAGGTATTCTCAGAGTGAGTGTTATAGTTGTGGTATTTTTGAAGGTGCTTAAGAAGAATAAAATTGCTTATGGGTCGTAGGGCGTTGTGGTTCTATGCTAGGTTTGTGGGGTGAGCTGTGGCTAAAGATCGTGGCATTTTAGCAAGGAGAATTATTAATCTGAAGACAGATTCGGAAGAAACTCGGAGAAAATAGGACAACTGGGTAGTAGGTTGGATCAGTATGGTAATGGATATGATCGGTTCTTTGGGTGCTTATGATGTGGGGGTTTTCTACAGGTACTTTGTGGCAATACACCTGGACTTGGCGTCCTGCGTGACTTGGTCGAGTTAGAGGAATTTAGTTTTAAGGGCTTGATTATGTGCAAATGGATTCCAAAGTATTCTTGATGGTTTCTACCGGTGTGGAGAACGTGTTGTGTATTGTGCCTGGAAAGAAGCAAGAGAAAGGTTCTAACTAAAATGGTATGTAAATTATCGGTGACTCAAAGTTGATAATAAAATTCTTGTGCTTTTCACATGATGGCAAGATAGATGTTATGTGTTGTACGAAAGCTAGATTTTCATGTACAAGGTGGCAGTACAGTCTTGAAGAGAAGGTAACGAATGTTGGACAACATGGACGGTTTCAAATAACTAGATG